ATACTTCATAGTTCAGTAAGAACTGGCTAATTGGCATGTGAGAATAAAGGTGTTTTTTATTTTTCCTGAAAAGTTAAAAATCCTAAACCAAAATAATGTAGCAATCAGCTTATCATTTCCCCCGACAAAGACTGACATTTTAACTATATGTATTCAAAAGCTCTAACAAAGCTACAATTATATGTACTACAAACTGCTTCTCCTTCCTAATTTAACATTAATCTATCTAAATAAAGAACAGTGTAGGGGAAGAATAAAGACCTGTTCTCAGACTCACTACAATCATTACATCCCAAGTCAATTGCAAATTGTTATTGCAAACTAGAGTCCTGGTGCATGAAATTCATGCAAGGGGGGTCCCTCGGCCCAGCCTGCACCCTCTCCAATCTGGGACCTCTCGGGAGATGTCCAACTGCCGGTTTAGGCCCAATCCCACTCGCAATCCAGGACTGCTGGCTCCTAACCACTCACCTGATCACCCCTAACCACTCTCCCCTGCCGGCCTGATCGCCCCTAACTGCTCTACCCTGATGGCCTGATCGCCCCTAACCACCTCTGCCTCGGCCCCCCCACCACCACGGTTTTGTCCGGAAGGACGTCTGGAAGGATGTCCAGAAGACATCCGGTCTAATTAGCATATTACCCTTTTATTAAGATAGATGAATTCACTTTTTTGCCTGCTTAAATTCAGACACTCCTTGACCCTTCCCAGGCAGAATGCTTCGGAGTCACGTTACCCTTACAGGTTAAGAAAAAGTCATGTATTTAGGATAATGATATGATAAATCAGACATTTCATATTAGAATCCAAACAACACATAGAAGATACCAAAGTTTAAGAAAAAAAATAGTGTAAGTTAAGAAAAAAACAACACAAGAAAATTATATTCAACAACCTGGGGTTTTCCCCCAACGAACTAGGAAATGTCCATCACTGTCATTGGCCATGACTGGAATGTACTGGCACAATGTGAGCGGAGTTGGGTGCAATGAGCAGCTGGCATAAACGTGCACACATTCCGCCAGCCTGTCCAGCAGTCTACCGCATACTTCTGGTCCGTCTCCACTGCGTAACTCACGTGCCCAACCATCGCAAGCCTGAAAAACAGCCACACATTTCCTGGGCTCTTCTCACTCTCCTCCAAACCACAAGCTTCTACACTCCAGTGGAGTCACTCCCTATCCCCTACTCACGCCTTGGCTCCAAGCACATTGATCAAAGGTCTGCATATCTTTTCTTACAATCATGTGTGCTACTTTTATGACAGTGTGTCAGCCTGGACTCCTCGTCGTGTCTCCTAGTTCACTGGTAGGTGAGTTCCTACTCACTCGAGACTCAGTACACCTACTCACGTAGGAAGACCACAGCCTCTCCCGTGTTGGCAGAGGACAGCTGTTACAGCACTAATGAATCACATCCTACTTACAGGATACAATAGACTGGTGAATTACTTAAGGGGCATAGGTCTCATTTCATCTTTTGAATTCCCGAGGCTTGGAAAATAATAGGTATTTCCATTAAAATGTGCCACAATATGGAAGAACTATCATTAGACATTGCACTGACTAGTAAATAGTACATGTACTTTCTTTGACTTCATTCATTAAACAACCTCAGAAAGCTATTGTCGCCATTTTACAGATGAGGAAACTGCTATGAAAAATGGGGTGAGAAGGAATAGCCCATAAAATGCAGGTATCAAGAAACTATCACCAGTGTCCACATTTCCATATCTCTTTAGTCTAGACCCAAGTTACTTCAGGTAATTACAATTCCTTAAAAAGTAAGTGTTCAAATGACTCAAGAAGCACTGTCTTTCTGTGGTTTTAAAAGTTCTTTATTTCAGAGTGAATTTGTATTTGAGGTATATGCCACGATTACTTTATGTCACATTTCTTTACTTGATTTGAATTTTAAATATCACCAAAGGCAGATCTTATTGTAATCATGTAACTCACCCCCAAAATCCACCCAGATAAAGTTTTTCTTCAAGCCAACAGTAAATTTAAGAAAAAAAGAAAGAAAAGACCCAGTGCATTTTTTTTATTAAGCAAAGAAAATCTGACTTCAGAAACTGAACTTTGAAGTGACAGTGAGTCCTACCTTTCTTATTAAATGGCAATGATAGGAGGTGATAGCTGTTTTTGTTTGGGGTTTTTCTTAATGTCCTTCCTTTTTAAAATGTTGATTGATTGATTTGAGAGAGAGAAACACAGATCAATTGCCTCCTGCACACACCCCTACTGGGACTGAACCCGAAATCTGGGTATGTGCCCTGACCTGGACTAGAACCTGCCACCTTTTGGTGAGATGTTCCAACCAACGGAGCCATACCCACCAGGGCGCCTTTCTTGCTTTTTAAGTGTTTTGTGAAAGCCCAAAGTCTGGGAAGGACTGCGTTAATCCAGTCTCTATATACAGCACTGCAGTTGGAGAGATTCATGTTGAACCTCAGCCAAGATATGCAAAGCTAATTATGGAACTGTTAATTACTAAATGCTTAAAAGGTTATTTGAAGGAGACTAATATAGAAGGAAAAAAGCCAGTAATATTTTTACCATAAATTTAAGTCCTCACTTGTTCAGTCACATGCCAATACAATTTGAAATTAGTATTTCAGTTATAAATATGTAGTTTTTTAACCTACAAATCTAAATATCATCGTTATGTAAACTAAATACGTGTGACCAAACAGGCTTGATTTGGGGAGACATGCTTTTTGAATATTGCTCACAGATCATTTAGTTGTGTTCATGAACAAAACTGCTTAAGAAGCAAATATATATTACTAGAACCCCAAAATGAGCAAAAATATAATGAAAGTGTAAGTTGTCAAATGAAAATATGAGACTGCTCACAAACAATGATAAAAAGAAACTCAAATAGAAAATGTAAGTATAACAGACACAATTTTCCCACTAGATTTGAAAGTTAAATATTTACTATAACTCTTTTGTTCAGATTCTCATAATTGAAAGTTCTCTGGGCTACAGGTATTTTTCAGCCCTGTCATTACGACTTTAGATATATTCTACTGAATGACTTTGCAAGGAAGTAAGTCTTCCTTGTACCGTTAGAAACTCTCAGCTCACAAATTCATGCGTTAGCCATTAAATCAAAAGGTACAATAGCCAAAACAAAAAATGTTTTTCAATAGGTAAGGACAAAGTAAAATTGTTAACTAGAAGGGGATAAGGTGAAGCCATTTTACACTCACCAATTTTAAGAGTAACTTTTACAGCTAGCTAAAAACACAATAAATTAGGTCTTTAAAGTAGAGGAAACAACTCCACAGTAGATGTTTCACCTGAAAAACTGAAAACATTATGTGTTTAAACACTCTACAGAAGCAATTTCCAGGGGTCTGAACTCAACAACTTAATAAAACGGTTTAGAAAAATCATTTTATTGTTTGAAGCCTTGAGGGATGAAGCTGTTTGTAATTTATTTGCGTCTTTTACTTCACTAAATTGCTTTGGTGATCACGCTTCCCATTGAAGTGATTAAAGACATAAACCCAAATAGTTTAATAAAGCAATTACTTAAGAGTCCTGTTTTTCAACAGAGGTCCACTGAAAAGTATCAGTAGAACATTTATAGTGTTCATTATGTACAAGAAGGTTTGTTATTCAGAACACAGCGCCCCTTTGACTAGAACTTAGCTAGGTTTCCAGACACACAATATGGGACACACTTGGATTAAAGACGACTTTTTTCCTCCTCTCAGAATATCAGGTGAAAAAGTGACAACGGTCAGGTGGCAATTTTTCTATTTCTCCTTACCATTCCTCCTCTCTAATGACATGCCTAAATAAAATGCGTTCCTATTTCCCAGGTGGGCCTGAAAAGCTCCCTCACTGTCAAAGCCGGGTGTTTCCACTGGGGTTCTCACCACGCCCAGATTCTCTCCTAGCTAACTATTTAGGTTACACTAGCAACATCACCATGACTTCTAGGCAATTGATTGACCTAAATACAAAACTATGTAAGTCTTCACCAAGTTTTGGAGAGAAACTGGATTGCTGGGGTTTTTTAAAAAAAAAAATCTGGAGAGAAACTGGATTGCTGGGGTTTAAAAAAAAGAAAGGGAAGAAAGAAACCGAATTTAACAAAAATTATTTCTACGTTCTTTCTTTTCGTTCAAAGCCCCTTCCTTTTGCCTGTAATGAGAATCATACAAACGCCTTTACCGAGTCTATCCTGAGAAACAGAAGGAAGCATGACAGCAAAACTGTCCTAGTTCACATCCTTCTGTTCGTGATATCGAGCCTATTTAACATGTGTTTTCTTACATTACAGAATTCTAACTCTCAAGCATCCATGAAAAAGACAGCACAGAAGAACTCCCAGCCCCTGCATTAACAAGGCACTCCGTAGAAAAAGCACCTTTAACCAAAACTTGTTTACCTGGGTCCATGTCAAACGTTCATTTTTTTTTGACAAGCCAGGAGAAGTTGAAAAACATTCACTTGCAAAACTTTCTCTTTAAAACAATAATAGGTAAGTGTGAGGGTCTGCATTAGCAATAACCCAATGAACATCAACGTTAATAGGGCTGATACTTCAGAATGCAAAACGGCCAGAGCTGGTTTGGCTTAGGGTAGGTTCCATTCCAGTCAAGGGCACATGCAGGGGTTGCAGACTTGATCCCCAGTAGGGGGCGTGCAGGAGGCAGCCAATCAATGATTCTCTCTCATCATTGATGTCCTATCTCTCTCCCCCTCTCCTTCCTCTTTGAAATCAATAAAAATGTATTTAAAAAAGAATGTACAAAACGTTTGGTAGCTTTCCCTCTGTTTACTTTTGCCCATAAAGGTTGGGTGGGGGCAATGCGTGGCTTTCCGACTGTCAATGAAGCTTTCATCCGGTGGCGTCAGTAGTCACTGGCCCACTTCTGACTCAGCCCAAGTACTATGCCGGGTCCGTTTTTATTCTACACAACTGGCACGGGAACGGGAAAGTTTAACAGTTCACTGACTTGGCACAGTCCACATGCTGTCACAGTGCAGGTTTTGTCTCTTACAGTCTTGTTTGGTGAAATACACCCTCCTCCCCCCCCCCCCCCCAAGCAGGTTTCCAATCATTGCTATTCTAATTAATTGACAAAAGGCATCACCACTTCCCCCATCTCTGATTTCCATTAAAGGCCTCTGACATCATTTTCTGACCTGTCTTACCTAGGTTCTAATATTCCCAGCATGTGTGCTTTCACTTGGCACTTCAAAATGCAATTCTTTCATTGAAATGTGCTTTTCCACCACACTAACTGGGAACGCGCATTCTCAGCTGCAGGAGACTGATGCGGTGGTCAATTTTAAAACTAATGGTGGGTAAGGGAAGGCACACGACACATTTGGTAAATACGTGCAATCTATGATTCCCCAGATGTGATGGCTCCGTCAAGAAAAACGAAAACATCAAAAACGGTACCAGGTGCCATTCTTGGGCCTTGTCCAAAGGCAGCCAATGGAAGATTCTGTTTTACTCCGTTCTCCCCCACATTAAGTAACAATAATCAACGTCAGGGAAGAGCATTTGGATTTGAACAGATGGCATCCAACACTTAACACGCGCAGCAACTCTTTCAAGAATTAGATCCTCCATGTCTGATGGTCCCACGGATCAGAAGGGCTTATTTGTCTAATAGGGTTGGCAACGAGATACCCTGTAGTCACCATCCCAACGCTTAGGAATATGCGTCATTCTCTAGTCAGCAACTAAAAGCAAAAAAAAAAAAAACAACTAAAAAATCAAACCACCACATTTTTATGAAATTTCCCCCTCGCCAGTCCAACTTGAAACGACCAAATCCAATGCCAGCGGCAATTCCTCCAGTTCAAGGAAAAGGAAAATAAGCCTGAAGGTAAACGAATGTATAAAGGTGAACAAACTTATCTAATTTTGACAAGGTTGTGCAACACCAAAGGAATCCGCACGGTGCCCTTCCCCGGGGTGGGTTTGACATGCCTGCCCTGCAAGAATGTCTGCATTTTAAACTAAAAGCACGAACTTAGCTATCCAACTTTTTCCCCCCGTCATGGGAAAGCTGCATCCCTCTTACAAAAGAGCAAAATAATAAATACACGAACACCTCAATGTTTTACGTTTAGAAGAAGGCCAATACGGATCGTCTCTCCAGACCCATACAAGTTTCCTGCAAACACCTCCAAACTCTGAAGGTAGAAGGGGCCGCATGCATGGGAAGGAAGGGGCCCGCAGCCAGAGTGGCAGGAGGAGCCAACCCAGGGGAGGTGAGCACCTCCCCTCCCCAAGGCCCCCCAAGATTCACGGGGCCGGGCGTGCGGCTGGGGAGAGGAGAAGCTCATTAGACAATTCCCTCCGCTGGGCAAACGTAGGGGGAAGGTCAGGAATGGGAGGGCAACGCAAAGGAGACTATCCAGGAGGCGGAAAAGTAAACCCAGGATGACCAGGGAATAAGGCTGGGAGATGGGATGTCACTGGAAGTTGGGGGTCCTATCAGGAGAAGTGGGATGCGCGGGGCGAACCGTGTCAGGAAGAGGGGGGCAGAGGGGGGCGGAGAGGGGC